AGCAATATCGGTTCAGACTGAATGGCACCGATTTTATTCATAAAACCATTTCCAGCACCAAAGTCCAAAATGAGTTTCGGATTCATTCATGGTTTGTGCATAGAGAGAGAGAGAGAGAGAGAGAGAGAGAGAGAGAGAGAGAGAGAGAGAAACGCATAGTGGTTTGGTTTTAAGTTGTTAGTGTTTGTCTTTTCAGTGAGATTAAATGATTTGAAACAAGATCAATACACCTTCGACATGTGCTCAATCCGAAAGTCAACAAATATAAGTGACAAATTCTATTGATCGTTTGTCGCAAATCCATATTTCAATATCCAATTGAAAATTACAACTTTTTACAACTCGAAAATACTATACATTGAAAAAGGCAGCAAGAGAGTTACCATTTACCAAGTCAAAGTGAATCATTTCAATAATAATCTGATTTGTGACACGCTTTCTTTTTGCACTTAAGCCATTTAGAAGAGAAAAAACACATTGCGAGAGAATAATCAAAGGATTTTACTCACTCGATCACTGCTACTTGTTCATACTTCGGGATGTGTGTTTTTTTTGTCTATCTTCTAAATCGATCGATGTAATTGGCAAATCAATCATAATTTTGTCAAACTGCGACAAATGCGCATGTACACCAAACGAGTCGAGTGTGCAGTTTTCCAATGTTGATAATGGGCAATTTGTTTTGGCGCTTTTCTTTCATTGAATTGATTCTCGAAAAAGAAACAACATCACCACCGACAGCAAAAACAAGCACAAAAAACAATAAAATCATTGTGATCGCAGCAAAGGTGTGAAAAATTATATGCGTTGTCCACGAGAGCAAGCCATTGTGTTGCTATGCATATGGTTGCTTTTTTATTGTGAAAGTGAGCCGAAGCGAGACGTCATTTATTTTCGAAAACAGATACAATTGATTGAAAAATCCTTATGTTGTTCGCTTCTTGGTGTTTTTTTCCTCTCCGTTCCTCGTTCCTTTGAATATAAGACACTGTTGTTGAATACATTGGCTTTTCAATGCGCATTTCAATGGCTGATATCAAACCACAAAAGCCACTCTAAAAACTCACCTCCTTATACATACCTTCCACATAAAAGGCCGGTGGTGTTGAAATGACGATCTCTCTCTCTCCCTGTGTCTCTTCTCGCAAAACCAGATAACAAAAGCGCTACTTGAACAAAAGAGACACGGACGCCAAAAATATTTTTATATTTTATTAAATAAATCGTGCATTTTTCAGGAAAAATGCTGAATTGACACAAGACAGAGGAAAGTGCGCCGCAGATGTTTTTTTTTCTGTCCTCTCGGCCGCATCCATTCCAAACAACCGAAATCGATATAAATACATTTGGTATACAAAAACAGTAAACTGGGCGATGAAATAAAAGCGGATTCGATTAGCCTACAATCGCGTTGACTTTATGCCTCTTTTTTTTCCTGTATTATGTCGAAGAGAGGGTCTACAACGACATATACACATACGCTTAGCCCAAATCCGACATTGCATTTTCAATATATTGCATTTTCGATCGAAAAATAAAAACATTTTCGTCGAATATTTTTTCCTTTCGATTTCAATAAAATTGTTGATTCACCACAAGTGTGTGTAATTGTGGCCTGATAAATATCTACGTAGCTCAAACAAAGCACGGATCTCGACGAAAGACGAAACATTGGCTCATGAGTGAATGGGGTGCATTCGGTCGGGTGTATGTGTGTGTGTGTCGTGCTGAATAAAATTCAAAACGAAAATATTGTACCAGGAGGCGGAGTTTTAAATGAATAAAATGTGTGCGAATAGTGAGAGTGCAATATCAATGACGGGCACTTTTGAAATTATACGCCAATACGACGCCCCTTCGATAGAGGTTAAGGGTACGCATTTCGATTAAATTGCTGACTTTAGTTTTTTTTTTTTAATTTGTACATTCATTTAAAACCCGTCGACACAAAAAAAAACAAATCGTCAATTGAATCCATTTCGTTATTTTGTACTGAGACAATTTTAAAATTCCAATCGCAATACATCGAAGCGAATTTAATCGATCATGAAAGTGTCACATTACACACAATTGCGCCTTTATAACACAACAAAAAGTTATCATAACAAAAATCTCCGTCCATTTTTTTCCCAATGATAAAGAAAAGGCCACCTAAACGAATTCGACCGAAAACAAAGAATGATGAGCAGAAGATCGATTTTTAATGAACACATGTTTTTGAGAGAAAAATTGAATAATCTCAAAATTATAGCGCAATTTAAGCGTGTTCAATTTTTGAATTACATTAAAAAAAACAGAAAAAATAAACGTGATTTTGGGGAAAATGCTTTGAATTGTCAATCAATTCAATGCAGCAGCGCGATTTCAAAACTACAATTTTATTACAGAGGTATGAGCAAAGGCTCAACCTAAATCAAAATCAAATACGACATTTTCGAGCTAAATTAAAGCCACAAACGATGTGTTTTTTCTCTATAAAATTTGGAAAAAAATACGCTGTAAAAATGCAACAGTTGACAATGTCACGAGCTTCACATCGATACAAAGACAAAAAAAACCTGAACGACGAAGATCGATCATCGGACTTCAATGCATTCCAATTATTCAGGTCTATTGTTACACGTATTTGGTATAACTGACATGACGCAATTCAATCATTATTGAGTGATTTATTCAAAATAAGTTTGAATTCCGAGTTTTTTCGGCCAAAAAAAAAAATAAATAAATAAATTTATAAAGTTGGGCTCATCTATTTTGAGGCGAAGGCACACTTAGATTGATCTGCTGTTGGAATAATACAATTTCACGACACACGTTGCTATCAAAATGCGTCCGAATGATGGATCGCAATCAATGTAATCATATTTTTCGAGTGTCTTCGAAATCGATTTCGTTATTTGAAGAGCGTTGTGTTGCGGTGAAAGAATCCAAACGAACATTCACAGTTAAATTGATTTTTATTCGTTTGTCTGTGGCAATAATTTGCAGCAACTGTGAGTGAAATTTTCGAATTAAACAAAGCCACAAAATTGGTATGTTGAAGCCGTGTTTTCATTTGGGAATATCACACACACGCACACAAAATGTGTGCTTTGGCAATTTAACGGAATATGCAATCGTTCATGTGGAATGGAATCGATTTGATTGTCTTGATTTCTTAATGCAGTTGACTGCGTGATCCATGTACAAACCTTCATGAATCTTGATTATAATGAATGCCAAAAAGTGCAACAAAAGTGCGAGCATGGCCCAAAACAAAGCCAACCAAATCGCGATAATCCACAATGACGCTCGGGCCGATGATGAAGCCAAACAACAATAACAACAGCAACAATGAGACGAGGAAAAAAAACAGCATCGTAATAAAATGATTGGAAGAAATTATGCCTTCTGGTTACAAATCGTAGTAACGCTATATTATTAAACAGTATCAATGTTGTGCAGTTTTGGTTACGCAGCCATTTTTTGCCATTTGACGCACATTCACAGCTCTGGTTGACGGGTAATTTGTGTGATTCGAACATTTATTATGCGTTGACAACGATAATAATTCTCACACCATCGAAAAGTGCATTGCGGTGTGTGTGTGTGTGTGTGTTGGGAAGAGTGAGTGTGAGCAAGAGCCATTTCGAGAGATAGAGAGCCGCCAAGCCGAGTCAAACCAATGGCAAAATTCAGTCATGTGGAACTAAAATTCTGGTTTTCTCTATTGAGCAATAGATGCAACAGTTTCCCCGAAACCTCGACTCGACTCGACTCGACTCTCTCTGTTCGACATTTCAGTGGAACAGAAATGTGTGTCGCCGTCATGTTATATTCAAATTGCAAGCTGTAGCTCAGATAAACACTCAATGCCATTGCAAACAACACACCAACTAAGGGTTTGACGATTTATGTTGAAAACACTTTTTGTGTGCACGTTGTACCGATTTCATTTGATTTTGAGGCTTGTGTGACCGCTTTTTCGCTGCCATTTATTATCTTCCCGTTAATTTTATTGTGTGCCCTGTGTTCGTATCATTTTTCATCGCATCACAGAGACAACAAAAGCGATGCGCGCACTTTTTCGGCGGTTGAACAGAGATGTCACATATTCACCAGAAAGCAACGAAGAAGAAGAAGAAGAAAGCGAAATTATTTGATTTGATTAAAACGCAGTCAGGAGTGATATACGAATTCGATCAGTCCCTCTCTCTGCGAGGCATCGATAGGGAAAATGCAGCCCGGTCGCGAGAGGGAAAACATCGTCGGTGACGAGATGTGTTTTGGGCTATTGTGGTAGTTAGAACGTATGTGCTTTTTAACCGCAAAATTACGATTTATGCATTCACAGAGGGATCATTCTTACATCAGCACACACAAAAAATAGGCTGTGTATGTGTGCGTACGCGTGTGTGTTTCTCTATGTATGGCATATTCGTGAAAACTGTTTTTAGTTGGTTATTCGATTTACCCTAAATATTTGATATTGTGTACCACTAGTTTGTTTATGGTGTGTTTGTTGTGCATTCGTGTGCTTCACTCTTTTGCCTCTCGCATCAAACGCATTCAATGAAGAGCATTCGTCAGACAGAAGGGCTGCCAAGTATGGGGAGGAGTTGTAACATTCCTTTTTCTCTTCTTCCCTTCGGCTCTATGCGTACTCTCACTCTCTCTCTCTCTCTCTGTCCTTGCTGCTTGTTGAGTGCTCGTCCTTTTCAACAATAGAAAATGCTATATTGCACGTTCATGTGTGTATGTGTGTATTTCTATTTGTTGATTCTTTAATCTTTTGACTAACTACTGAAATGTATTTTTCATTTTTGGCTACCATTATATTCGATCGTTTCTATTGTTCGGGCTTATTTTAAAAGTGATACCTCTTGAAGATCGATCTTAGTTGACTTTGGTTTGTTAAGCTGTAAACATCGATTTTCTGTTTGCTTAAGGAAGAGGAACATTTCGTAGCGAATTTTTTTTTTAACGAAGTTTTTTTTGCAAGGAAAAAAAGTTTTAAAAAAATTGGATTTTTAAAAAAAAAGTGTCATTTGTGATAAATTTTTGTGTGTCAATTGAACGATTTGGCGAATCAAGTGAAAATGTCGGTCAAATGTGCCATGTCTCCACCACAAACGTACTCGCGTTTGTTCCGACCTTGGGACGGTAAAACCAATCAGGATAGTACGATAACGTCGACAACGATGCAATTGCAACAGCCAATGGCTCCATCGGTGAGCCCAAAATTAGTTATCGATAGTAAAATCGATTGCTGTGATAAAACCAGTGAAAAGATTTTGATCAACGATGTTCCAATGGATTGCGCAAAATCAATCACAACAATCACCGAACAAACGGCTTTTGTGAACCGAGCTCCACACACCAAATTGGATGCAACGCCAGTGCCTCATCTTCAACCACAAGTGCCAGGATTTTTTCCAACAGCACCGTTTTTCGCACAACCACCAACAGCACCAGTTACAGTGGCGGCGGCCGCAGCAGCCACCACTTATCCGGACTTAATGCTACCAAACCTTCCGTTCATGGGCGTCGATCCATTCGTCATGGAGCAAGAGTATGCCCGAGTCCTAGCCGAAGAAGCTCAAGTCAAAATGATGACGGCCAGAAAACAACGACCAAAGAAATTTAAGTGCCCCCATTGCGATGTTGCTTTCTCAAATAATGGCCAACTTAAGGGACACATTCGAATTCATACCGGTAAGCTACAAACAATTTCAAATTAATCCAATTAAAAGCACTGCTTAAAGAGTTTTCAAATTTCACTTCGTGCTTTAAATAGATTAATAAACGAAAATCTTTTTGATCTTCTTTCCTACAGGCGAAAGACCATTTAAATGTGATGAACCCAACTGTGGTAAAACGTTTACCAGAAATGAAGAATTAACTCGACACAAGCGTATCCACACCGGACACCGTCCATTCCCATGCCAAACATGCGGCAAACGCTTCGGACGACGTGATCATCTCAAAAAACACACACGGTAAGCATCAATTCTATGGAAAATCATTCATAAAATTTAGATTTCTGTATTCAAAAGCGACAACTGTGCAAAAGATTAAAAACAAATTCTATGGCAACATTTGCGCAGTCGCTTCATTTTTGAATCGCCATTTTCTCATTTTGCAAAACTTATTACCAATCGAAATTCTAATGGTTTTTTCTTTCTTTTCTTCTTTTCTTTGCAGAACTCATTTCGTTCAAGATCGCTACATGCAATCGGCAATGTTTTTGCCACTTTATCCATATTTGTACGGGTACTAGACAACTTTTGTAATTAGTGTTTTAACTATTTGCCGTTTGAAATTCAAACTTTTATAAGAACCAATGAAAAACTGTGTACATAGCATTTAGATAGCTAAGAAGATTTTAATCTAAGACATAACAGAGAATTTAATGATAAATTTCGAAATTTTATATTTTTTTTTACTTAATTTGTATAAGATATGTTTTTATATGAGAACGAATAAACCAATTCTAATGAAAAATCTAATTTTCCAACGTTTTTAACTTTTTTTTAAATCCACTTTAGCTTATTCTTTAATATCTCATCACTTCAGTTTAGGCTGATTAAATATCTTTTGAAGACTGGTTTGAAAATCGACCTTGCACAAATTGAGTAAGCATTTTTACACAAGAAAAACACTGTTTTTCTCCTTTTTTCTCTATTTAGCCAAAGTGAAGTGATGCCAAAAGCCAAATTGTAATTGAATTTGCAGAATGTCGAATCGCGGTTTTGACTCATCGACAAATAGTTGCTCGTGTGAAATCAATTTTTCTCCTACCTGAATGAAAAAGACTAAATCAGTTGCTTGTCCGTTTCTATTGTGCAGTGTCTTCCTCCTTCTTGTTGTCTATGCTTCTTGATATCCATTCACAAAATTGAATGGATCGATTTCGAGCAATTCAATGAAAGAATTCAAACATCAGCTATTCATATAACGCTATGCCTGGTGCTAGATATTACGCGATGTGCGTGGCATTGACAAGAGTCAACTAATTTCTTTGACCGAGCTTATAAAAAACTGTCGTTTTTCTAAGAATATATTTGTAGGTTGAACTGGTTCAGTCATTCTTCTCTTTTTTATGCGCAACAAAAGCAACGATCCGTTTTTTCTGGGCCTTTTTTCATTTCCTTTACAGTTTGGTTTCATTTTATTGAAAGTGTCCAATAAAATTATTGATGAACTATAAAAATTGCGATTTAATTGTGGGCTTTGCTACATCGGGTTTTTTTTCTTGAAAAAGGATAATACGACACAACAAAAAATGTTTATTTAGAATTTGAGTTTTTATACGATTGTAGTATCGAAGATTAGCTTTGCTTCGAAATCCAATGAAAAACTCCAAATACCCAATTCTGGTAATCGACATAAAGTGTATTAAAAGCAGGATGAAGATTTGAGCCAATTTGTTGTGCGAAAAGTAGTTTGTATCCGAAATCAATAATGTGCATGAAAAGAGCACTCCAGGAGGTAACGATGTGTGATCGTAATATTCACAGCGCAGCAGCCAGTAAACTATATGTCATCGATGTTGGGTAATTTATGGCAATAAATCCTGGCAAAAAGTAATTGTTTTGACGCTTACTGAACTATTTAGTTGCAATGCATAATAATCAATTGCAGTGGTTTGCATTGAAATCGATTTAAATCCACTCCTTGAATTCAACTTCCCCGAAATGACGATGGGCAAACGGAGATTTATCAATTCGGAGAGAAATTGAATAATTCGAAAGGTTTTAGCATTGGTTTTTTTCCTGGTTAGCATATAGCATGGCATGCTGAGGCGTCATACTGTCTGTTGCGGTCGATATATCTGGATCAATTCATCGATCGACTGTGCAGATAATTACTGAACATTGCAACACTGCACCAAAATTTCTTTTCGAATACACATTCAAGTCCATTCATCTTTTCTTTCGTTTTCTTTGTCACACATACCATTCTCCTTCGTCTTGCGACCGTTCGTATGTTGAATGTTGCAAAGGCAAAACCTAGACTTTTGTGCGTCACTCGAATAATAGGTCACAGTGCGTACGGGCTATTCGTTGCATTGTTTTCGATGTTTTGTCAGACTCAGTGCCTCAGTTTTGTCGTGTAGTGAACCGGTGAACACATAATAATTTTTATTTTTTTTCAGTTGATTTTAGTACACATTACCTGTGCAAAGCGTGGGAAATTGCGAAATTCACACTTTTTTCCTTCCAAAACTGTTTCTCTTCTTCGTTTTTTCTCAGCTAAACAGAATAGCCAACATTTGTCTCGCTTTTGTTATTACATCCAGGCCAAAATGTCACGCCTGTCACCCGTATGCATTCGAAGGAAGGATGTCGAATCTCTTAAACGATTCACTTTACCCAATTATGTCAATATCTTTTAATTAGTGAAAGAGAAACTGAAACGAAAGAAATGTGAAGCAAATATTCAAATATTTTCTTTTTATTCAAACAAATAGGCCGAACTTTTCACATTTTTCTCGTTTTTTTTTGAGGATTTTCGATTTTTTGTTATCATCGAATTTCGAATCATCGAAACGCCCAATAATTTCATGAACTACGTTTTATCAACGTTTCTGGCCATTTTTGCTACATCTGACCAAATCTTTTATTTGCTAAATTTTTTCTCCTCAATTGAAATGTTTCCATTCAAATATCGAACTCGCTCAAAGCACATTGTGTCCTTTCGATTTCATTAAATCAAATTCCATTCCAATAAATTTCAAGTTATTTCAGCATTTTTTCCACGTAATTGCCATTGTACCATTCTCAAGACGCATTGAATTCGAATTATGACGAAAACAAAGCGAAATTATTGCGAAAAAAAAGAGATTCGAGTACACTTTTTTGACACCGTTTTTATCTTCAATCTAATAAAAACATAAATTTTCACAATGTGTCACTTTATTGGTCTTTAATAGAAGAACATGTAAGAGATTAAGACAGATCCTTTGGGTGTTGGTAAAAAAAAGGACGATAAAAATTCACTTAATGTGCTGTAAAGGCAATAATTTTTAGTGGTTCAAATGTATGAATGTCCTACGCTATTATCTAATTCTTTCACATTTCTGTCCAGAGATTCCTCTTTGTCTGTCGTTCGTCGTTGTCGTTGGTTTGTTCGTTCAACACGAAAAGAAGAAAAAATGTTTACCTACATCAAATAATCGGTGTGTTGAGTGCGCGTTTTAAATTCATTCATAAGCCATCACCGATTTCGATTCGTTTCGTCTTTTCTAAGGAATACACAGACCTTCGGTTTGATACAAATGAATGAAGAAAGGAAAAAAAAAATCTCTCCTCAATAAAAGGAGTTGAATGAAATAAAATGCCAAAAAAAACGATCTGGTATTTGTTTTCTTCGATCGACCTACTGCCTTTGTTGGTCTGTATGGTTATTTATTGTGGTTTGATATTCCTTATTTCGAACAATTATTTTGTGTTTGGCCGTGTCGATCAGGGAATATAATCAATAGACGCGGACACACAGCATTGTCTATTGAATATGAATTGGAAATTATTGTTCAATGGAAGATCGATAATTTTCGACCACCACAGTTGTTTCATTGATTTTTTTCTTAAATGCAAAACCGTGCAAAATATTTTTTTTTCGGTTACCTACATCAGTTTTGGGTGCCTTTGTCATGGACTACTTTGATATTTTTTATGATCGTTATTGAATTTATACGTACATAAGCAATAGATTTTCTATGAAGTGATCGTAGGAACTGACACGTTTCCATAACTATTACTGTTTCAAAAACATAGTATGCATTTCAGTATAACTCAGAAGTGTACTTTATTCCGAATCTATATATCAAACACTCCAAACTAAATAAATTCATTCCGAACACACAGTTGAAGAAAAAACTCTTACGCCTCAAGAAAATATGAGGCGATTAATATTTCTGTTACTTATTTCTATAGCATGGGCTATAGAAAGTAATGAAAATACAGCATTATTCAATCGACAACCGCGTATTATGGGTGGACATTGGACAATCAGCAACATCTGGACAATTTCCATACTTGGCAGCGATAGATTTCTTGATTTTTGGTGAATGGGGACTAGGTTGTGGAGGTGCTATTATTTCGGAGAAGTCGATACTAACAACAGCCACCTGCTCAGCTTCATGTGAAGAGGAAGAAAGAGACGAGTGCAGAGTTTTTGTTGGAAGGCTGGAGCTCAAATCTGGTGGCCAAGAAGTCAAGATCGTTGAAGTTATACATCATGATTCCTGGAAGTCTAATTTAATTAACTTAGGCATTATACGAGTACAAAAAATTCCACTATCGCAGAACATTAAAGCGATTGAATTGCCGAAACAGGATTTAAAGAATAATGAAATAACTTATATAATGGGCTGGGGAAAATGGGTAAGTAAATTGTTAGAAAATTTGATGGCAAAAAAAACTTATCAACATTTCGAATAATTTCAACCCATTTCTATTGTCTCGAAATTAAATTTATCAGGGATCTGACAACGAAGTTTTGAAATATGCGACAGTTGAAGCAATAACTTGTTTGAAACCAAACCAAACGGCTGAATATGCATGCACAGATTCAAAAAATATATACGCTTGTAATAATGTGTTTATCGATGATGTGTTTTCACGATGGTATATATGTAGTGACTTTCTTAAGCTGGCGTATCATTTAATTGACTTTTATAGGCTTTCCAATGGCTTACATCGATCGAAATGAGTTGATTGGAATTAGTCACACATACCTGGTAATTTTACGAATAATAATTTTTTTCAAGATTAACTCGATTGTTTCATTTTCCAGTGTATACCTGGTATGTATTTTTTGTGAATAATGTAAATTGGGGAATGTTTTTTATACTAATTTGAATTTGAGAAAATAACTTCTATTTTGAAAATAGTCCTAATGAAAATTTTAAATAGGTTTATTTTCGATATATTTGTAGAAGAGAGCAAATATGTACGTATTTATCCATATCGAGATTGGGTTCATAAACACATTGAAAATGATGAAAACTTTGGCCTACCTGCACACCGCACCGATATGGTCATTACAATTATATGCTTTGGAGATGATTGTTTTCGTCATCATTAATTCAATATTCAATTGAAATTTGCCTTAATGATACTTCTTATTAGTAATTAATTTATTTCAAGACAAAGCCAATAGTTCTAGAAAAGCGTTAATAAATGTATATCGAAGAAGAAGAAAATTTTGTTGCGTTATTCAAGAAGAAAACGTCATCATTACCATTTTCCATTTGTAGATAATAGATATAAATTCTAGGGTGTTGTTGTTGATAAAATAGAGTATATACATCCGAGCGTTCACGATTTATCCATTTATTTATGATCGTTATTGCATTTTAATTTTTCTATGAAATGATCGTAGGAACTGACACGTTTCCATAACAATTACTGTTTCAAAAACAAAGTATGCATATCAATATAGCTCAGAAATATAGTTCGTTTGCAATCTGAACTACAGATTTACCGGCATTAAAAATGTAGTAGGTAGTAGCATTACGTTAACAAAAATTTCCTGTAATGTTATTACAATTGTAATAGCTATTACCGGTAATACCAAATGACTGGCATTACAATTGTAACACATTATCGGTAATGCTAAATTTTGGCATTACAATTATAATAGCTATTACTTGACCCGCCCGTTACAATATTAACATGTTACCTAACATTAACGGTAATAAAATTCTGGAAGTGGGTTTTGGTGGATCCTCAGGATCGTTCGAAACTGCTATGTGTTACAATTGTAACACATTACCAGTAATGCTAAATTTTGGCATTACAATTGTAATAGCATTACTTTGGCTCTTCGTTACAATATTAATGTGTTACGGCAAAATGTAAATCAGTAATCTGAACACTCCAAACTAAATAAGTTCATTCCAAACACATATTTCAAATAAACAGTTTCTCCTCACGAAATTATGCAGCGATTCATAATTTTGTTACTTGCACCCATAGTATTGGCTATAGATACTAATGAAAACACATTGCCGAAAGAGGACCTAATATTTAATGAACAGGCTTTTATTATGGATTGGGGAAGTTATGTAAGTAGATTGTTAGAAATATCAATAACTAAAAACAACTAATAAATATTTTGAATAATTTTTAAACCGTTTCTATCGTCTGAAACGTAAATTAAGTATGGTAACCATGAGATTTTGAATTATTTGTGTGCGTTCAAGTTACGAAGTTGATTTTGCCTGTCCAAGTTCATACAACATATTCGCTTGTAATGACATTGGTGAGTGTTTATCAATGATGATTTTTAACGATGAAATATATTGAATTTGATAAAACTTCCGTTACGTAAGTTACACATGGATATATAATAACTTTCCGAATTTGGTTTACAAAAAATTGGTTGTTTAGGTTCTCCAATGGTTATCGCAGATCGGAATGAATTGATTGGAATTGATTCTAAGTTCACACGAGACGTAATTTTGTTATTTTTGAATTTTATTTAAATTAAAAACTCGTCGATTTTATGTTTCAGTGCAAATATGGTATTAATTTTTTTTGTGGACAATGTGTTTCGGAGAAGTTTTTTTTTTATTAATTTGAACTTGAAAAATAAAATACTTTATTATCAAAATACTTCTAATAATAATTATAAATTATGTCGGTTTTCGAAATATTTGTAGAGGATAGCCAATACCTGCTCATATTTCCACATCGACCTTGAATTCTTAGAAACTTTGGATTGTCTGCACACAGCACCGATATGGTCATGACAATTATTGCTTTAGAGATGATTGTTTTCGTCATCATTAATTCAACATTCAATTGAAATTTTCCCTAATAACATTTCTTATTAGTGATTAGTTTATTTCAAGACAAAGCCAATAGCTCTAAAAAGCGTCGATAAATGTAAGAAGAAAAAAACTTTGTAACTTTTTTGCATTATTCAAGAAGAAAACGTCATCACAAAGCTAAGAAGAAAAAAATTCTACCTTCCGAGATGTCATGCTAAGCCAAATCAAAATCGCATTGAATTTGGATTGTGAGAAGCATTTGTAGATAATAGATATAAATTCAAGAGTGTTGTTGCTGATAAAATGGAATAAATCCATCCGAGTGTTCAATTGGATCAATTGTGTTGTGAATGTGTCAACAACTTCTACTGCTCGCTTCGAAATCATTTCCGATTTATCCAATTTTTTTCCCTCCTTTCTTGTTGGTCAATCGAAAAATGGAATCAGGAAATGCATTCAGCAATGCACCGCCCGTCGCGAACCCATTGATTGCCGTGCAAGTCAATTGATTGTCGTTGACGAATATTCTCTGAAAATCGGATATGGCCTTTTCATTCTTGGCGAAATAAAGAATTAATCTAGTGCTTGTTCAACAATTAAAAAAAAGAGAATTGATCGTTTTGGAAGGTATATCTCACACTGTCTCCTCAATAGATTGTTGTTGCCACCAACATAAACATTGCGAATTCAGACTGTGTGTGTGAGTCGAAAGACGAAACGCATTGAGATAGTTCTAAGCTTCTTAGCATTGACTAGCTGTGGAACAATCGAATCAATCAAATCCCATGTGTGGCTTTTATTGCGTACGTATCGCTGAATCAAGAGCATGACCTTTTCGTTTCCTTTATGCCATTCGCATGACTGTGTGTTCGACATGCAATTGTGAATTAAATTCCGGATAATGGTACGGTACTAAATCAGTGAGGTTTTCTTATTCACCAGCCCGAGCACATTGTCTGTGGCACAGCAACAATTTTTAAGATCTCAATTACGAAGAATGGCAGTTTGAATGATAACAAAAGAAATGTTTTCATTTTTGTTTGGACTCTTTTGGTTCTGCTTTCTCGCCTTAGCCTCTATTTCTGCGTGCCTGCGTGCGTGCGTGTGTGCCTGTATGTTTACATTATTTCACTGATATGAAAAGGAAAGAAAATGGCACTATATTTGCTGTGCTGTCAGTAATTCCATGTCAATCGTTTACTATCCTCTCGATATGTGGTGTGTGACTTAATGTTAGCTAATGACAAACGTGTGACATGCGAAAAGACCCCAAGCATAACACAGTGAGAGCCACAGTAATCCCTTCTTTTGCAACGCTTTATCGCATCAATTTGTAGCATTCGGATGACAATGACAATAACCAACACCAGTATTACGGATGTTGCAAGAATTTTGAATGATTCACGTTCTGTACTCAGGAAAATGGCTCTTTGGGGATTTGATTATTCAATAGCTGCTGCAGTTGAAAGTGTATGCATCAAATTTTGATTTATTCAATTGTTTGATGTTCAAACATTTGACTCGCGTAAAAAAAATTGAATTTTATCGATGAAAAAGCATGGGCGTGACATGCAGCCACATGGGTACAGCGCCCGTGTACTTCGTAGTGGAAAAAAAGTGAAGCTTGCTTGTCACCAATATTGATGTTCACGAACATCAAATTGTTTATGCGTTATTTCGCCCACTTTATGCACTGGAAATAAAAAGTTCTTCAATTTCTAGCAAATTTCACATATGAATTCATAAACACATCGAGAAAACACAACTATTTTTTCACATAAAAAGCATAAGCAAGATGATTTTTTCGTTGATGGTTGTTCGATCCTGGATCGTTTGTGATTCATCAACGATTTGCAACACATCCATTTTTGATTTCGATATTCCAACTGAATACGATGTTTTGTATTCATTAAACAATTCCATTTTGATCAGAAAATAATTTTTTATTGAAATGGCTGTGACGAAAAACCACGCGAACGATTGCAAACGATAGCACAAACATTAATGTCTAGGAACATCAAATTCGAATTGACATTATTGTCAAAGCGAATTCATCGGGAAACACTGACTTGAAGTTCGACACAAATGTCAAATTAATTCGCCGATGTGAAGCAACAAAACAAAATAAATAAAAATACAAGCAAACAAACATTTTGTGTTGATCTAATCTGCAAGTTTTATATTTTTCCAGAATAAAAACGGTAATTTTTTTGTATTTTATTGTTTCATTCCAAATAAAATCTCTATTGTGATTTTTAAGTATACATTTATAAAAGATATCTTCAAAAATCAACTTTGAATGTAATATAATTTGTTATTGGCGACAAACAATTAATCGAACGCATTTAATCGAACATAAAATAATTTTCAGCCTGCCGGTTTGCTGATGTTCCCCGAATCGACCGACGAAGTGCCCAGTGCCCACCACCGATGTCGAAGAAGACAAACTAATTTCCGTGATAATTTAAATTTTGCCATTCAACATTCCAATAAGGGCAAACGCAGTGTAATCGAAAAACATTTGGAAGGCATCAAGCATTGGGGCCTAAATCGACATGACAAAATCAATCAACCGTCCCATTGTATTGCGAAATCGACGCCAAAGGAAGAAATTGAATGATAAAATCATTAATCTTCCGTATTTGATGTTCCTAGACATTAATGTTTGTGCTATCGTTTGCAATCGTTCGCGTGGTTTTTCGTCATAGCCATTTTAATAAAAAATTATTTTGTGATCAAAATGGAATTTTTTAATGAATACAAAACATCGTATTCAGTTGGAATATCGAAATCAAAAATGGATGTGTTGCAAATCATTAATGAATCACAAACGATCCAGGATCGAACAACCATCAACGAAAAAATCATCTTGCTTTTGCTTTTTATGTGAAAAAAAGTTGTGTTTTCTCGATGTGTTTATGAATTCATATGTGAAATTTGCTAGAAATTGAAGAACTTTTCATTTCCAGTTCATAAAATGGGCGAAATAACGCATAAACAATTTGATGTTCGTGAACATCAATATTGGTGACAAGCAAGCTTCACTTTTTTTCCACTACGAAGTACACGGGCGCTGCTTGTACGAAATTCCGTTTGTATGAAGCATGTCACGCCGATGTGAAAAAGACATCAATCGATTGATTTATGACAAAATATTGACAATATTAAAAATATTGTACAGTATAACCTGTCAATAACGGAACCTGGGAATAGTGGAAATCGTGTCAATAGTGGAAAAAAAATGTGGCCGTTGAGCTCTCCCATACAAATTGACCTGTTAATAACGGAAAACCGAAACTCCGAATAGTGGAAAAAAATTTCTTGACGAAATTTTTAGTCGTCTTCTATTCATCTCTTTTTCATATGAAACTAATTTTTTCCTTTATCAAAACCACTGATCATCATAAAATTTGTGCAGTACAATTTACATTACATTCATTTCAGTATTATTTTTCACTTTTGTCTGCCAAAATCATTGCTTATTTATTGAAGCAAACAAATTTTTGACGCTTCCAGCAAAAACATATTCACTCGATCAGTGCATTTACATTAAGTTTGGTAATCATTGTTTCGTTTCATGAAATGCAGAATTCATCGCTGACAAATTGATAGTGTAAAAAATGAGTATCATTTACCTTCCCATTTTGAGTCATTGTTTAGACTGCTTGATTATTTTAAAAAGTGATGTTTGTCATTCACTCAGTGAATTTCACCGTTTTTTCACTTTCGTTTTTCCATCATTCATTTAGTAAAAAAAATACTTTTATTTCATTATTTCCTTTTCACGTTCATTATATCACTTGATTTGATAATTGGATACCCATAAAAATGTATGTTTTGTTTCTTTTTACCCTCAATAATGGAAAATCTTGTTTGAATCGACTCAAAAACCTCTGAATAACGGATCCTGTGAATACTGGAATTCTTGTCAATAGTGGAAAAAAAAATTCGCTACGGGATTCTGTTATTGACAGGTTTTACTGTACGAGATTGATTCTGTTTAAATATTAGTCTTTAATGTAGATTTGCGAAAAAGGTCGAAATTTTTCAAATAAGCACTTCATTCAAGCCAGCATAAAAGAAAAATCAAGTGGCGACTCTATCGGTGGCCGCTGACACTCTTCCCAATTGTTCACTCCTAAATATAGACTTCCTCCAACCATTAAAGTTTGACTCAAGCTGCGCACTCAACTTATTTACTGTCAACATTTGACTCATTCGATAATTATATTGTAGTATTTAGCATGCGATTAAATAGAGCGTGAAAATTGTTGAATAAATAATAAGCATAAAAAACGTTTGAATAATTGAGTTTTCCAATCAATTACGCATATAATTTCCAATTGAAATCTAAAAGTAAATAATAGAAATTTAATTGCGCTGTCTCATCCCTATTAGAAAAAAAGAAAGAAGATATCGTGAGATGAAGCGCTACCGCTTGGCAGATCGACGATGACAGAAGCTTCGTTCGAAGCAGAGAGAAGAAAAAAAAACAACAACGGCAAACAATGTGTTTATATTTACCACACAAAACAAAGTGCACTTTGCATTGAGTCGAACAATAAGCGGATAAACGTATATGAGTAATGGCGATCAGAGCGGTGACAACTCCAAACAGCGAATAAATACGTCGTACACTGAGAATCAAGTGAAAATCTATTCCGTTTAATTGTGAGAAATATTGGAAACAAATTCGAATCATAGAAGCGAATTAAATTCGGTGAGTTAACACATTTGTTCGTATTTTGTTGTTGGTTTCGTCGCGTCTCATCGTTTCATTAGTTAATGTGACAAAAATAAACGCATTACGTTTGCGATCGCACACACACACACACCAAATATGTTCAATGAAAATGTCATTTCAAATGGAAATCATAACAAAGTCTTTGTGTTTGCTCATTTTCATTGTTCAATGAACACAAATCACGGCTAATTTTTTTTTTCTTTCGAATTAGAAAATCTGTTGATTTCAAATTTTTCTCGTTATTAAAAATTGTGATTCCAAGTGACATATAACCCCATTTTGAAAAGTGCGGCGAAATAGCGGCAGAATATTTCCTGTACGAAAGTAGTGTACCAGTGAAGCCTCTCAACTGCCGCTATTTTGATTTTCTCACTGCCGTTGGTCATTTTTTCCCCTTCAATTTCTGGAGTAAATTTTCAAATATTCAATTTTAGTCGACTTCCCATTTTTTTTGCGTCGACATTTGTCAAAATTCAAATACTTGTTCCCACGAATATTTACATTTTATTCTAATTATTTTAATTTATGCATAATTTTCGTTGTTGTTGCTATTTTTTTTGTGTCTTTAATCAGCTGGACCGAACGAGTTGTGTGGATATTGCGTAATTTTATGAAAATGAGCATGTCGATCAAAACGAGAAGTTTAGTATTCGCGACATTTTTTGTCAATTGTATTGTTGTTGGTTTGCTGTTAGCCAGTTTGATAACGGAGCATTGGATCGAGGCGGAAGCAAGAATGCCGAATTCGGCGAACGCAACTGGCACCGTGCACTTTGGCCTATTTTCGGGCAAGAAAACATTAGACCGTGGCATTGGATCACGTTCATCAAAAATTGACGTACCAGCCACGCTACGAAGTGAACCAAATTTTATGAGCTACTGGCTTTGGTTGGGCACATTCGTTGGCACCGGGCTGGGTCTATTCTCCAGTGCAATCGGTGGCATTGCTTCGGTCATGAAATCAGCTTCACCACAAAAGAAGCACGGAACTATGTGTCTTCTGTTTTTTAGCAATGGAGCATCAGGTTTGTCGTTTTCACCACTTACAAAATGTTGAACAAACATTTATTTCGTGTCAAAAGTCAATCAAATATTTCATTTTTTCTGCCATTGTTGCGAAATTGAATGACTTTCAACAATTTATTGACAATTAAAATAATTTTCATCGTAAAAAAAAGAAATAATTTGTCCGAGAATATTTGCTGATTTAATCACAAATAATTGACTCGCCATTTCGAAATCTAAATTTAATAAAAAATGTTTTTTTCTGTTCTAATTTAAGCTATATCACAGTTACTGGCATTTTTGTGTTGGATCGGCGAGTTCTATGGCTATTTGAAAACGAACGTGTTGATGGCTGAGGATCGCAAGAAGACATGGCACACCATAAATCTATCCGATTTTGGTCATAGTTTTTATTTCGTGTTGGCCGGTATACTGTTTGTGATAGTGAACATCGTGATTTTAGTTGTAGTGCTGGCCATGGAAAAGAAAGAGCGTCGCCCAGTTCGTCAGGAGCCAGTTGATGAGAAAGCGGCTGGCGCAATTATGCTCTACTAAATTTAAGCATTCGTACAGCTATTTCTTTATGTTTTACTAATTCCGTCCGTGTATATTTGATTTTTTTTTCTTTCTTCATCTGGGGTATTTTCGGGTATTTGATCTGTGTGAATCGATCACAGCAGATTCATTTTTTTTGTCTGCTGATTTACTCAATATTTACGAGTTTATGTAACCGAATGACTGTCAACTCAACAACCAATATATTATTATTACTTTTTCTCTCTCTCTCTGATGTGAATATTAGCTAAGGACTAGTAGCTAATAACATTTTTTTTTGTATTGAAATCTAATCAGTTTCCGAATCAACACACGTGTGTTGAATAAATCAAGTATTGTTTACCATGTAATTAGGTTGTAGGTCGTCGATCGAACAAAAATCGTTTAATACATGAACTATTTGATTTTTGTTTTAGATTTTTAGATAGGGAGTTACTCAATAACACAAATGTACTCAAACGGGCACAAATTGTGATCTGAATTTGTTTGTTTATTTTTTTAAAATTTATCAATTATTATTGTTAAATCGTTTGTGTGACACATCACACACGAAACGACCAATGACTACCAACAAAAACAAAAACAACAGCATAATAAAGCTGCCGAAACAGAGACGAGACGATTTATTACATTTTCATTAACGCGGTCGAAACAAAGAAAAAAAAATGTGGGAAAGAAATAATGCAGTTTGAATCACAATCGAAAACCAACAAAATTATTTGTGTATTTTTTTTTATTTCATTTCTAAAACAAAATACAATATTGCAAATTCTTATGCGTAATAATAATAAATGAATGCCATTTCACTTAAGCTAGGACAATCGTAATTTAAAGAAGAGAAGAAAAAATAAAATGTAAAAATAATTCTCACAATTGATATTTGTTTTGTGTTCGAGAAAAAAGAAATAATACTAATTAATAAACAAACAAAAAACAACAAAACAACAGTGTGTATCGCAAACTATATTGACATTTCTAGATGATGCATCTACGGGATTCGATCTTTTGCTTTTAGCTCTGAGATACTTCGTTCCCTATTCTCTTATTCGATCTGGTTTTTTTTTCTTCTGTTTTTCTACTGTGACCTACATTATTCACACGCTTATCTCAGTTTAATATTGCTACTTATTAGCTCCAAATATTTAAAATTGTATTCAATGCAAAATGGAACAAATGGTTTGTATTTTCTTCTCGGTGTAAAATTTCAATTGAAAATTTATTAACAAAACAAAAGAAGAAAATGTTGTTTGATATTTATGGTAGAAAATATCGTAAATTCGGTCGATTTCAAACCTTTTGTCACAAAAGAAAATTGACGCATTTGATTTTCATCTCTTTTCATTGTGTGGATCAAAAGAAAAATTCTGTGTTACACCTGAACAAAAGAAAATATGCTAAATTGTTTTTTTTTCTGTTGATGAGATGTGTGATTGGATTGATGCTAAAATGATATCCATTCGTTCAAATTCTATGTTCTCGTGCACAAAACACACAGTAACAAAGTAAGTACCAAACAACTCTAAAGCTATGAAAAATTTAGAACTAAATGCATTTGTTCTTGTGTCGTCGTCGTCGTCGTCGTCGTCGTCGTCGTCGTCGTTCGTCTCGTCTTAATTTAGTTAATATACAGATGATTAAATTAAAACTAAAAATTTTACTTCTTTCGCCGTAAACCGGCCAAACACAAGAAGAAGAATCCCGCAATCCACAAGAATATAACAATGAAGCCACTGTAAACATTTGGATTTGTAATTGGCATACCTTTGGAAAGAATATTTCGCACCTGTGAATAGAACAGAAAGAGAAACAAGATATTTAGTGAAACGATATTGATTTTTTTTTATGCATGATTGGTTGTACCGTACCGAAATGGTTGGAATGGTGAAGGGCAATAGTAGGGCAAAGTCTCGTAAAAGTTGTGGCATTCCTTCGAGTGGCCACAGCAAACCGCACAGCACAATCATCGGATAAAATGCGCCGGTCGATACAAAGTTGGCCATTGTATGTGACTCACAGAAGATTGAAATCAACATACCTGAAAATTTCCAAGAAATGAACACATGTATGGTTTAACCACATAATTGAACATTATCGTGCCACTCAATCGATGGCATTGGCATATTAGCCATAGAACGGAAATTGCATTTAAAGTAGTTGCGTGGATGGAAATTTGTTGTGAACACTGGCGTCGAATGAATAACCTACCGAATAACATTCCAGCGAAACCAGTCAAAGATAACAGGAGAATTACGGTGAGATTGTCACCATTGTTTTCGGTACCGAAGACCACACCGATGAAGAATATCACTTCAGTGCATTGCAGAAAGACGATAACCGACTGCGTCACAATATGCGCCAGCAATAGTTCTGTCGTTGAAATTCCTGTTGAAAATAGATAAAACATAAGTATCTCTCGCTTTCTTTCGTCTACAAATGACAAATGCTTTAATGGACAAGAATGTAATTAAATTTTCACTCAAGCTAAAGCGATAGATGCACAATGCCTATAAAACTTTGGAATAAAAAAAAATTGTATGTCATGATATTTGAGAGACAGAAGAATGAGAGAGAGAGAGAGAGAGAGAGAGAGAGAGAGAGAGAGAGAGAGAGAGAGAGAGAGAGAGAGAGAGAGAGAAAGCAATACATCGAATCGAAACGTCATGATTGTCTTACCAGCGACGAGTGTGCGCTCCCAAACACCTTCCATGCGATCTGTGATGAATACGGCGGCGGTGACCAGAGTTGCCAAAAAGAATACCATTCTGAAGGTGGAATTGACGTCATTACAAAATCCATGTTATGTTGAAATTCCATGGAAAATAAACAAATTCCAAAACACTTACGTCATTATGACACCGGGTGCAGCATATTCTTGAAAATCGGCGTCAAACGATGAGTAAACGGGTTTTTTGAAATTGATCGGAATTGTGGCGAGCGCTCTGGGCAGTTCACAGTCGATCATCAGCTTTTGAGCAAATTCACCGTATGTCTCACGCAATTTACGCTCCAAAAAGAAGGCAACCTGTTGATTTGACATATCCAAACGCACTTGAATCTCACGACTCTCAAACGATCCGTTGCGAGCATCTCGATTGTTGTCCAAAATATCCTTGATTGATTCAGTGAAATTCGACGCAAAATGTACAAATCCAATGATATTCGCTTTTTTTGCCTCCGCATACGCTTCCTCTTTCGAATTAAAATGGACCTAAATATACGTGAAATATGAGAGAGACTCGTTAAATAAATTAAGCCAATTAACGTATGTGTGATTGATTAATTGATTGATGTTTAAGCACCTGTATGGCATATTCGGGCGGTATATCTCTCAGATATCGGCAAGACACTTTCGTTAAATTGCATTCATAATCGTATACTTGGGCGGTGACAAGCGAATTGTTATAACAATCCTGCCAATTGGGCACTTCTTCATTGACTATTCCTAATTTTAAACTCTTTGGATTATCACCTATGGCTAAATAAAAGCAAGTGCACTGCAGAATCGGGAACAAAAAGATAAACAGAACTCCGCTGCGATTATGTAGTTAAAAGAATTGAAAAAAAAACATGTTAGTCGGTCATACTCATTCAAAATCAAAAAAATCTAAAGGTTTTTTTTTTATCCACACTTACGACGGTTGACGTATTAACTGTAGCAGATTTTTGGTAAGCAATGCTTTCATCCGAATCTGTGATGTGAACGTTAATTTTCCGATCAATGTGTCGGGTCTTTGTTCGTGAAACGATAAATTTCGCTTAAGTTTCCCCTTTTTGGGCAGATCTGTTTGTGTTTCGCTGTCATGTTTGACCGTTGAACTTGCGTTTGCTTCCTTGGTTTTTGCATCTGGTTTCGATTCACTTTGATTCTGATGGCTGCCCTGTTGATTTGATACACTTTGCAGGAATTTTTGACCAGCAGCCCTGCCCATCGTTGTGTCAGCCTCTTCAGAGGTTCCATGTTTTTGGCAAAGTACTAAAAATGCATCCTCCAAATTGTCACAATTGAATCGTTGCATAATATTTGTCGGTGTGTCTTCGGCTAATAAAATGCCATTGCGCATCATTCCAATCTGGGAACGAGGGAGAGAGAGGGAGAGTGATTCATTAATTTGCTTCAGGGTACAAATTGGACAGCACAATCTATTTACAAACACTCACTGTATTTGCTTGACGCGCTTCGTCTATGTAATGTGTGGTTATGATTACGGCTAATTTACTCGTTCGTGTGGTTTCAACCAAAAAATTCCAAATTCTACGATAACCGAAAATGGAAACATTTTCCGAAAGATTAGTGAATGACGTTAGTAATTGTGGTTGGTGTTTATTTTTTTCGTTCTTTCCAAGAAATCATACTCACTTTTCCCTGAGTAATGGATCCAAGCCAACTGTTGGCTCGTCCAATATGACCAATTCCGGTTCTGAAAAACAAGAACACCACGAAACGTTCATTATACCAAACAAAAATGGTAAAACTATTTGTTTTTTCCATCTGTTCATTCATATTTTCAGCTGTAATTTACCGTGAACTAATGCACACGCAAATGAAACCCGCCTCTTTTGACCTCCGCTTAAGTTTTCAACTAGACGACTACTGTCGGGCAGTTCAAGCAGGTCCTTCAGAATTTTAAATCGTTCTCGAATGCGATCGTCGTGCATGCCATATATGCGTCCAAAATAGTAGATCGTCTCTTTGATCGATAGCTCGTTAACGAGTGCAATATCTTGTGGCATGTATCCGATGCGTGGTCCCAATGTGCTGGCCGAATGTGTATTCAGGCAGGTTCCCAACACCGAAATTTGACCTTCTTGTAACTTTTTCTGACCAACAATACACGATAACAGTGTAGTCTTTCCACATCCTGATGCACCCAAAAGCCCATAGCTTTGTAAATTTAAAGAATGAGAAGAAAAAAAAACGAAAATCACGTTATTTTGGACAACAACAAAATGATACGAAAATAAAATTGCGCAATAAACGTATATAATTAAACTGGTTAAAAATAGCACGAAAAACGGGAAATACATAATCGAGAAAACGTGCATAACTCGAGCAAAAAGCTATTCAAAGGCGAACAACTGTGCGTACACTATGAGGAAATAATTGGGTGCAATGAAAACAAAAACACTATTATTAACAATAAAATCACATATCTTCAAAGAAAAATCTCAAACGTTCAATAATTGTGACACTGTGTGTCGTAGAAGTTTCTACCGAAAGAAAAACTCACAATAACATCGACAACTTGCATTTGTTATTGTTTCGTTTTTTTTTTTTCATTTTACAAAATGAACAATCAATAATTTCGATAATGACAACGACGTTGGAATTTACAAGAGTGAGAAAAAAATACTTGTTCTCAATAATACTCACATCGATCCGATCGGAACGTTCATATCCAGATAGTTGAGGATGATCTTTTTGTTCGGGTCATTCGGGCTTCCATAATACTTGTAGCCACCCCTAACTTCAACAGCAGCCATGATAAACTAGTACGTGTCACTTCGGTTGCCTACGGATTTATGGAAAATGAATTGAAATCTTGTACTGTTTTTATTTTTTGACGGTATAAATATTTATATTGATAAATTTATCAATCTGCACAACACATTAAATTGTTCCTTGTTTGGCAGAGTAGAAAAGAAAAATGTGTCTCTTTCGGCCGTTAGTGGTTTTTGATGTAAATTCTTGTATTGTTTGATATGGACACGCGAACAGTGCGCTGTGTGTGCGATCAATTTTATATTTCAGGCACGTTTTTGTAGCTCATGGAACAAACAACAACAGCAGAAGCAGTAGTAGCAGCAATAACAACAGCGGCAGCGGTCAGAATGAATCTCAATAAAATTCATTTTTATTGCCAACTTTTTTTCTATTCCAATAATAATTGTATAATCCCTCTAAGGTTAATGCAAAGCGAATCACCGATCGACCAAAACAGAGAGAGAAAGAGAAACCCCACAATTATTTTCATTACATACATGCGACAGTTTGTTTATTGTAACTTCAATAGATCGATTTGGTATTTAGTTTGTTCTATCTTCTTTTTCATATATATATATATATATGATGATCGCGATCAAACAATCAAGATAAATTGTGCTCACTCAACTGTGAGTGGTTTTAATTAACATTTTTTTTTCTTTTACCTTAGATTTCAATTTATCATTTGGATGGGTTTTTATCTAGGCATTTATTAGATAGCAAACGACTTTTTCTACACACATTTTTTTTCGTAATTTATGCGTATTATTATTATCAACGTCATTTGAACGAGAGACGATGTGCGGATACTAAAGTCGAGAAAGAGATGTGATCGATTGGACAATACGATTGAATTGAATCACAAACGTGTGTTCAACTCATATACAATTTCCGCACGCGCATCGAGAACAATCTTTTAACATTTATCAAATTATTTCGTTCGAAATGCATTACAAATCGCAAAACGGTAGACTTTTACTGCACTATTCTGTGCGTTACCAGAAAGAAAAAAAAAGTATTATATAAACAGAAGCATTGTGTTTGCCGTATAGAGTGGTGCTGGTGAGTCAGAGCGTCTAACGGTAAAATGAATCAATGGAAAAAACAGAGAAACTCATTCGAAATGCACAAATCAAACATTTGAGGTTGGAACGTTGATTTGTTGTTGCATTTATTCTTCAATGCACATATCGTCCGATAAATCAACAAGAATTACAAGAAAAAATAAACTTTTAATAATGAGCACATCGTTGTAAAGTAATCAATTGCGATTTGGCTGTGCGAATTCTACGTTCAACGAAAGAAAAAACAAATTTTATTCAAACATTCATCAGGCAATGAAAAATACGTAGCGGCTATCATGCATACCAATAAGCAACATAAATTATTATTGGGTGCAAAAAAATCGACGCATCAAAGACGGAATACAAAAGTAGCGCGTATATGTACGCGCAAAATACAATTTTTGCTTGTGTGTTGATTTGTTTTTTTTTCTTCATCGAAACTTATAAATCAACCTTGAATTTTTTTTGTAATGTATTCATTTTGGACGATGGGTCTTTGTTTTCTAACACTTGATGGACGCTTTAATTGATGGACGAATGAGACACATACACACGAAAGAGAAGAAGAAGAAGAAGGAGAAAAAAAGCGTGTGGCCCGGCAACCTCACACTTCAATACCGTACATCCAAAATATAATCATTGTGTGTAATGATCGATTGTGTTTTGTTTTTGGCATTTAATTCTTTAAAATTGTAACCATCGCTTTGTTCGAAGTACTTTACAAAACATACGTTAATTGCTCATCAATTGAAATCAAAATGTTGTGGCACAATCTTTGTCTTTCGTTCGAATAATTTGCGCAAGTTTCGTTTTATTGTGCTAATGATGTCTTCTTCATCGATCATGTATGCGCGTGGTCATCGTCTTTGTTTTTTTTCGGCTATGCTAAATCGATCCCGGTTGATATATTTTACATAATAATATTTGCGATGTGATAAAGAAACACACGCATTTCACATTGAAACGTGCGTATATGAATGCAATATAAGGGAAAAACCGGATAAAATTAAATGAACTTGTTTAATGAGCGTTAGAAACTGAAATAAAAATACTGTAAAAATAAACACACACACACACCGCAAAAGTGAAGGTTATGGAATATTGAATTGGGTTAACCATTGAAGCGAATCATTGCACTCAAAGACATATTGTTTACATAGGTATTTTTCCTGTATAATTGGAATGGCAAACAGAAGAGAGAAAGAGACAGAGATGGAGGGAGGTAGAGAGCGCGCGCGCGAAAAACGCCAAACCACAACAAGAACGGAAAAGATCTTAGGCCAGTCATCTTCGTGCGCGAGTGCGTGATTACATCGCGTCAAACAAGTTTTTTCCACACAGAATTCGAACACTCTCAATATCGATGAAGAAAAAAAAATATTCCACAACATCAGATCACTGTCGCTTTCGATTGTTTGATTTCTATTTGTGGGTAACCGATTGCTACATATTTTATTCATGCGTTTTTTTTTCGTAGGAAATGCCTTAATAATACCGTTATGTTAGATAAAACGCGAAACAATGATTGCCTCTCTCGCGGGATCATTATCATCATAATCATCAATTTATAAATAATTTTGTTGGGCGGCTATTGCAACATGTCACTTTCAACCCAAAAAAACTCAAATGCAGTAAGAGCGACCAACGAAATGAAAATAAGACGACAAACAATAAAAAAACATAACAAATGTCCAAATCGAATCAACAAATGCCCGCGCACGCTAACACTTGCGTAGATTATATCGAAAATCTTAACGGTCCCACGTTGAATTTTCGAGTTTGAGTTAGTTGATGAGCGCACAATGACCAGAGAAGAGAGAGAGAGAGAGAGAGAGAGAGAGAAATAGCATGATTATATTTTCTCGTCAATAATACCAGTGGATGGTGACATACAAACACACTGAAAATTGAATCATACGCACGATCCCAATGTATACGTATATACAAAAGCCCAATCACGATTTATTTTATAGTTTAGTATTGCTATTTATCTTGTTGCCGAATTGGATCGCATAAGACAAAATGAAAAGACGAAAATGGTAAATTTGATGTTGACCGCATTAAAGATCTCGCTTGCGTTGTGCTCTCAATCATCCGATCTCGTTTACGCATTATCCATTTCTCTTTCGCTCTCTTTCTATCTCTCTCGCTCACTCTCTACCTCTTCCTATCTCTTTCTCTCACTTGTGCAAGTCTTGGTCCCAACAATAATAACAATAAGAAGAGAAAAAAAAGCTGATTTTCTTCAGTTATCAGTTCGACATTCAGCGTACAATGGCAACTCATGCACTCGAATGTCGACAGACATGGATTTTTATTAATTCAAGACCATGTTAAATAATAAATGGTGTAAAATGGTGTGTTGTTGATTATGTCATAGACATCTTTTTCGTCTTACGTTCGTCGACATAACATTTATATTTTTCTGAATGATTTTGTGCACTCTCTCTTTCACTCGGCATTTCGATGGAAGGTGAAACGTGAAAAAGATGCTTGGACATCGTCACACACACAGCACGCACTGTATGGTGCTGTTACTGATATCTTGGCGTTGTTGTTGTTGTTGTTGCTGCGGTTGCTGCTGCTGCTGCTGCCGCTGGTGCAACACATATCGATCGTAATGGTAAACAGTGCGAGAATGCTCGCCATTTACTCAAAAGATAAACAAGAAGCATAGCAGCACCAGCAGCAATCGCGCATACATACACGACAAAAAAACCAACAACAACGAACGCCAAAGTTTGTCTTTGTTATTGCTGTGGCAAACATGATGAAAAAAGCACTTCATGACGAGCGCAGGTAATGCGCGCACAGCAATCATAAGTTCGTTAGATATCGTTGAGTAAATAACAAAGAAATCCAAAAATATCAATTTACATAATAGTCATTCGGGGCTATCAGTGTATCGCATGAATCCCAGTGAGATCGAGAGTGAGTGAGAGAGAGAGAGACACGATTAAGCGCTCAGGTGTACTTTGTGTTCGTTTTTTTCTCTTGGTTATTGACCAATAACGCTTTTGCGATCTGGTAAATGTCATTACGAAGAACACGAAGCGCTTTTGCACAGTTGCCAGTCGAGCGCATGATAATCAAATTTCACTACTGATTTTAATGATTTCACTGAGCAACAACAATGCATATGCTCTTTTAATATGAAAGAAAAAAAGCACATTCGCTTTTTGTTCGTTGTCGTCGTCGCTGTCGCTGTCGCTGCTGCTGCTGTATTTGTTGCTATCAAAATCTTGTATCTAAGAACAATAAAATGGTTGGATAATTTTTTCCTGCCGCGTAGAACATGTGCCGCGTTGTGCATATTGAATAATTACAGCTCAATTGCACACGAAATGCTAACGGGAACCATGTATGCGACTATGCGTGTGTTTGCATTATATTTTTTTCGTTTTTTTCTTTATTTTTTGTACGTGGCCGAAACAGTTTTGGCATCGACATTTTAACTGTTGTAATTTATCGTAACTGACAATTAGCCATATTGCGAAAATATCAACCGAAAACAAACGAATGAATGAATTAAAAAAAAAGTTGAATTCAACTCAAGCCAATGCGAAAAAATGCACACAAGCCGCCACAGCAGCAGCAGCAACAGCAACAGCAGAAAAACACATCAGCATCACACACACTTGATTTGATTTGTTAATTTGTACGCGCTGAAAACCTTGAAACACATACTCCATCTTTTTCGGTTCGAACAATTTTTGCGATCATTACTCTTTTCAATACAAAACACGCTAACAAAAAACCAAAATTGACCGTACGGTACAGTACAGTATGGGGGGCAGAAATACATATATGTAGACACTAAATATGATATTCATGGCGGTAAGAAGACTAGACACATCACACCACACAGCCACTCCGCACATATAGCCCCGGCCAATTAATGGAAACAATCACATTTGCGCGAGAGTGAGAAGGATCTTTTCTTTATGTGCCATGGACACTCTTT